GAGCATAATTCCGTCAGTTTTCCATCAAATTTCGTTTTTTTGGTGTCATTACAATCGGGAAAAGATTCTCTATCATTTCATAAGAAAAAATAATTTCTTTTTTTTTTTAAATTTTGTGACACCAGGAGACACCTCAGGATTGGGGGTTGCGACAGTCAAAGGGTTAATGAAGCTCATGTCCCTAGAAAGTCGCTCTGCCACATCTGTAGGATGACCAGGGGCATTGTCTAATACCAGGAGGCACTTAAGGTCTAATTTCTTTTCAATTAGGTAATTTTTCACATCGGGGGCAAATGCATGGTGTAACCAGTCATAGAAAAAGTCCCTAGTGACCCATGCCTTACTGTTTGCCCTCCACAGCACACACAAATTAGCCTTGAGGACATTGTTTTTCCTGAACACTTTGGGGGTTTCAGAGTGATACACCAATAAAGGCTTCACTTTGCAATCACCACTAGCATTGGCACACATCAACAAAGTAAGCCTGTCTTTCATAGGCTTATGTCCTGGGAGTGCCTTTTCCTCCTGAGTAATGTACGTCCTGCTTGGCATTTTCTTCCAAAACAGGCCTGTTTCTTCACAATTAAACACTTGTTCAGGTTTCAGTCCTTCACTGTCTATGTACTCCTTGAAGTCCTGCACATATTTTTCAGCCGCTTTGTGGTCTGAACTGGCAGCCTCACCATGCCTTATCACACTATGAATGCCACTACGCTTCTTAAATCTCTCAAACCAACCTTTGCTGGCCTTAAATTCACTCACATCACTAGTTGCTGGCATTTTTTTAATTAAATCGTCATGCAACTTCCTAGCCTTTTCACATATGATCGCTTGAGAGATGCTGTCTCCTGCTATCTGTTTCTCGTTTATCCACACCAATAACAGTCTCTCAACATCTTCGAGTACTTGCGATCTCAGTTTCGAAAACTTAGTTGCACCTTTGGCAAGAACAGCTTCCTTGATTGCCGTTTTCTTGCCCACAATAGTAGCGATGGTTGATTGGGGTTTATTATACATCCTGACCAGCTCAGAGATACGCACTCCACTTTCATATTTATCAATGATCTCTTTCTTCATCTCCATAGTAATTCTCACCCTTTTTGCTGTAGGGTTGGCACTAGAAGCTTTCTTGGGGCCCATGGTGACTTATTTTGCAGGTGCAATCACTAAAAAGGCTGTGATAATATGAAATGTTCCAGTTGTATGTTTGGAAGCGACCGCGGTGGCTGGCTGGCTTGTAAACACTGGCACCAAAGGGACAAGTGAGGCGCGCTCAGGCCAAAGTGGACGCGTATGGTACGGAACGAAAAGCGCTGGTCGGGTTTTTAAGCGCTAGTCGAGGCAAAATTTTTGCGTTTAAATGAATCACTAGTCAGATTTATCGTTAATCGATGCAATCGCTGGTTGAGGGTCCACTGTATATACGTCAAACACGGTACCTCGTAAGACGTATATATATGGCCGCGACAGTCAAAGGGTTAAGGTAAAAAAAAAATTTTTGTTAATACTTCTGGGTGTTTGGAACGGATTAATTGTATTTACATTATTTCTTATGGGGAAAATGGTTTCCGTTTTCACCGATTGCTCTGGAACGGATTAAACACGAAAACTGAGGGTCCACTGTACTAACCTAGCCTAGTGCTACCTAACCTAACTGACAAATTTATGGTTTGTCTAGGTTAGGTTAGGCTGGTATGGCTTATGATATTATATTTACTTATCAAAAACTTTCAATCCTATTTGCCCAAGTCACCTAATAAAAAAGAAATTTACATAAAAAATTATATTCTCATCTTGATAGTCTTATACTGCCTCTTATCATGCAAATTAACAATTTCCACAACAACTATCTTGGCTGTAGTTACTGACAACAACAACTCAGTGGAGCTCTGACATTGGTTTACACTTTTCAATACAACCTACGTACAAAATAAACAAGAATTTCTTGTGTAATTTTTTATTTAGGTAGATATTAACAAAAATCAGTTAGGTTAGGTTAGTTTTTGTAAAAACCTGAAAATGATACTCATCTTTCTTTACACTGGGCCAAGCATGAGACACGCCTCAGTGTACACCACAATCTAAATGAATCGATTTTCCTTAACTAACTCTAACCTTAACCAAACAATATCTAATCTAACATAGCCTTATCGATTTTCATTAACATCTCCCAAAGTAAAAATGTGCACAAGAAATATTTATGTATTCTACAATGCATATTGATTATATGCATTGAAAAGTGTAAAATAATGATTGAATTCTACCATTATGTCAGTATCTATTTCTATTTTTCACAAGGGAAAAGATAACATGGTTGTTATTTGCAATATAAAGTATTAATGGACTTCTGTCCCGGAAAAAAGTACATGACACCCAGAATTATATTATTTAAAGTGATCAAGGTCCAAGAACTGAAACCTCTTTAATAAATGTGTCCTAAATTAATGTATTAATTTTCACTCTAAGTTGTTGAGAATCATGCTTTCTTACTAGAAAATAATGTCACTTATAGATGAAAGGACACAAAGACATCTTTATTGGATCTGAAGTGGCCAAAGACCCTGAATCGCAACATATCCAATACAAGAAAGGAGGAGCAATGCAATAGGCCTACTGGCCCATGCTAGGCAAGTCCAAGTCATACCCACCCACACAAATTCATGTACTTGTCTAACCTATTTTTAAAGGTCCACAAGGCTTTCACTTCAATGATGCTGCTCAGAAGTTTGCTCCACTCATCCACAACTCTATTACCTAACCAATGCTTTCCTATATCCTTTCTAAATAAAATTTTTCCACCTTGAATCTACTGTTGAGTCCTGTTTTGGCTAGATGTTTTCAGCATGTTATGTATATCCCCTTTATTTATTCCTGCCATTCATTCATGCACCTCAATCATATGCCCCCCTAATTCTACACCTTTCTAGAGAGTACATATTCACTGCCCTCATTCAATCCTCATACGAAAGATTTTTGATACATGTATGTTTTACAATGAATTTATGTCGATTCTGTAATATGGTGACCAGAACTGCACAGCATAATCCAAATGAGGCCTTACTAATGAATTGTGGAGTTAAGGTACAACCTGAGGACTCCTGTTATTTATACATCTTGAACCTGAGGACTCCTGTTATTTATACATCTTGATAAGAGGCCAAGAATTCTATTAACTTTATTGCGAACACTTACGTACCATTATCTTGGCTTTAGATAATTACTAGCCAGAACTCCTCAATCTTTTTTTGAAGTGACTGAGATCTACATTATTAAATTTATAAGTGCCACAGTTACTCCCTTTTTCACAGGTTTAGAATTTTACATCTGTCTACATTTAACTGTGTCTGCCACTTCTCTGAATGCTGCATCAATCTATCCAGATCTTCCTATAGTGCTCTAGTGTCCTGATCAAAATTAATCTGACAAACTATTTTAGTGCCATTGGTAAACTTGCTTATGTTGCTATTGATTCCCTCCTTGTCACTGACTTTTAAGTGGGCCTAACTTGTCCTTAATCTCACTCTTATATACCTGAAAGAAACCTTTTGGGTTGTCTTTGAATCCCTTGTGACTTTATAATCACTCTTGGCTTTTCTTTATTCTTTTCTCTCTCTCTCTCTCTTTTAATATGGGTGTCCAAGGTGTACGTGCACTTGTGCCCTTGCATCCAAACCTTCATTATGTCTTTAACGGCAGTTACATTTAGGATATATCTTCCCAGAATGTGACTTCTGACACAGCTAGTCTTTTAGGACATTTGCCTGTCAATTTTTCCCCTGGATGCCACAACATCTGGTTAACATATGGGTAGCTAATATCACTGTTAGGTAGACAGGGAAAGGCAGGTGGTTAGTTAGCTGGGTAATGGGGTTTAAACCCAATCAACTACACTAGGCTCATTAAGGCTGCACATAACCTTTTTACCTCTGGACAAGAATACTTCAATCCATAAGATAGGGATTAAATTAAACTCTCAGCATAGATATATGTTGAGAGAAATACACCTCACAGTGTATATCATGTATATCATGTATATCATGTGGCAGGTGATAGGGTAACAAAACTTTAATTCAAGGCCCTTGATGAAAGTCACTGACTTCTTTTGATTATTCTAAGTAATTTACATGTAAAATGGTTGTAATTCTCCAAAAATTGTGTAACACTACCTCAATGAAGTTACTACTATGGCCATGTTTCAGAGGGTCCCAGCTACAATTCTACACAATTTTGGAGGATTACAATTATCTTACAAAGTATGTGATTACCTAGGATAAAAAAAAAAGCCAGAGACTTATTTCACTGGGGGTCCCAGAATACTCTTCTTTTTCTTTCTTCTTTCTTTTTCTTCAGTACAGCATACACTGTACTGAGCCTTGATTCCCGGTGTACAAATATTACCCAAAGCTGGGCGATGAAAGGGAGTAGTTCCCTGTGGAAACAGAAACAAATTAGATGTTTCCAAGTCAGCCAGGTGCACCCCTTTTTAACCCCAGCAGAGCGGGATGCCCACACACTCACCTGGCACCTTAACAACTGGCTTCCCACCAAAACCGTTGAAGAAATATCCGCAGAGTGAAAAAAAATGGAGCCAATAAATGCTGCCCCTCCTGTAAAGTGCTCGGCGAGCAGAATATGACAAGGACAAGAATCTCAGAGAAGCTAACATACGTGTAAATTTTACCTTATTCCTTGTAATGACCCTCGTATTGTAGATAGTCTTAATGACCTTGGTGTAGCAGATAGTCTTTTAGTATGATAAGATGATGTTATCTTCATTGTAGAATAATAAGAAAATATTATAACCTTTATACTAATAAGGTAAAAGGACCCCAATGGAAATAAGTCACTCTGTCTGACTTTTTTGGGTTATCCTAGGTTCTCTACACATATGCTGCTATGTATGATAATTCTATGTAACTGTATTTGTGTATACCTGAATAAACTAACTTACTTACTTACAAGCTGGTTGGCTGGCTGGTGCAGCAGCGCAGTAAACTCACCTGATAAGTTTCTCCTCCAGTGTGTTCTTATCTGTGACCAGTAAGTTACCAACGTCACATTCCAGCTGTATCTCCTTGTTCACTTCAATGGATTTCTGTTCCTGGTGTGCCTGAGTGATAATGTCTTGCACCCGTTCTGCAACATGATCACCCATGATGGTGTGTTTACTGCAGGGAGACAACACAGCAGCGCCATGCGTCGCAACACCAAGACACCAGAACAGCGCCATGCGTCGCAACACCAAGACACCAGAACAGCGCAATGCGTTGCACCACAAAACAATGTTGTCTCTAGACAAACACACGTCGACAACGTGTGTTTGCGTGTGTATTTGTGTACTCATATATGTGTGAGTGAGTGTGCTCGAGTGTGTATGTACGCTCGTGTGTGTGTACTCACCTATTTCTGTGTGACCCAAAAATTAATATTTGCACGATAACTCATTACTTTATAATTTGTTCATGATTATAACCATGTATAAACGTAAGTAAGTAAATCTACTTACACGATTCATTACCTTGTAACTTCATTACTTATGTATCTTGTTCAGCTATTAAAACTTTGAGGCCCAGTCCCTGGACCCCATACCCACAGAATGGGTATAGGGTGACTACCGCCCACAGGATGGGAAAGGGGTGACCACCGCCCACAGGATTGGTATGGTGTGCATAATAAAGATACTAAACTAACAGGGATATCTTGCTACTCCTACTTACACTTTGGTCACACTTCACAGACACGCACATGCATATATATATATATACATACATCTAGGTTTTTCTCCTTTTTCTAAATAGCTCTTGTTCTTCTGTATTTCTTCTATTGTCCATGGGGAAGTGGAAAAGAATCTTTCCTCCGTAAGCCATGCGTGTCGTATGAGGCGACTAAAATGCCGGGAACAATGGGCTAGTAACCCCTTCTCCTGTAGACATTTACTAAAAAAGAGAAGAAGAAAAACTTTATAAAACTGGGATGCTTAAATGTGCGTGGATGTAGTGCGGATGACAAGAAACAGATGATTGCTGATGTTATGAATGAAAAGAAGTTGGATGTCCTGGCCCTAAGCGAAACAAAGCTGAAGGGGGTAGGAGAGTTTCAGTGGGGGGAAATAAATGGGATTAAATCTGGAGTATCTGAGAGAGTTAGAGCAAAGGAAGGGGTAGCAGTAATGTTAAAATGATCAGTTATGGAAGGGGGAAAAGAGAATATGAATGTGTAAATTCAAGAATTATGTGGATTAAAAGTGAAGGTTGGATGCGAGAAGTGGGTCATAATAGCGTGTATGCACCTGGAGAAGAGAGGAATGCAGAGGAGAGAGAGAGATTTTGGAGATGTTAAGTGAATGTATAGGAGCCTTTGAACCAAGTGAGAGAGTAATTGTGGTAGGGGACCTGAATGCTAAAGTAGGAGAAACTTTTAGAGAGGGTGTGGTAGGTAAGTTTGGGGTGCCAGGTGTAAATGATAATGGGAGCCCTTTGATTGAACTTTGTATAGAAAGGGGTTTAGTTATAGGTAATACATATTTTAAGAAAAAGAGGATAAATAAGTATACAAGATATGATGTAGGGCGAAATGACAGTAGTTTTTTGGATTATGTATTGGTAGATAAAAGACTGTTGAGTAGACTTCAGGATGTACATGTTTATAGAGGGGCCACAGATATATCAGATCACTTTCTAGTTGTAGCTACACTGAGAGTAAAAGGTAGATGGGATACAAGGAGAATAGAAGCATCAGGGAAGAGAGAGGTGAAGGTTTATAAACTAAAAGAGGAGGCAGTTCGGGTAAGATATAAACAGCTATTGGAGGATAGATGGGCTAATGAGAGCATAGGCAATGGGGTCGAAGAGGTATGGGGTAGGTTTAAAAATGTAGTGTTAGAGTGTTCAGCAGAAGTTTGTGGTTACAGGAAAGCGGGTGCAGGAGGGAAGAGGAGCGATTGGTGGAATGATGATGTAAAGAGAGTAGTAAGGGGGGAAAAAGTTAGCATATGAGAAGTTTTTACAAAGTAGAAGTGATGCAAGGAGGGAAGAGTATATGGAGAAAAGAGAGGGGTTTTAAGAGAGTGGTGAAGCAATGTAAAAAGAGAGCAAATGAGAGAGTGGGTGAGATGTTATCAACAAATTTTGTTGAAAATAAGAAAAAGTTTTGGAGTGAGATTAACAAGTTAAGAAAGCCTAGAGAACAAATGGATTTGTCAGTTAAAAATAGGAGAGGAGAGTTATTAAATGGAGAGTTAGAGGTATTGGGAAGATGGAGGGAATATTTTGAGGAATTGTTAAATGTTGATGAAGATAGGGAAGCTGTGATTACGTGTATAGGAAAAGGGAAAGGAATAACATCTTGTAGGAGTGAGGAAGTGCCAGTTGTGAGTGTGGGGGAAGTTCGTGAGGCAGTAGGTAAAATGAAAGGGGGTAAGGCAGCCGGGATTGATGGGATAAAGATAGAAATGTTAAAGCAGGTGGGGAAAATAGTTTTGGAGTGGTTGGTGCAATTATTTAATAAATGTATGGAAGAGGGTAAGGTACCTAGGATTGGCAGAGAGCATGCATAGTTCCTTTGTATAAAGGCAAAGGGGATAAAAGAGAGTGCAAAATTATAGGGGGATAAGTCTGTTGAGTATACCTGGTAAAGTGTATGGTAGAGTTATAATTGAAAGAATTAAGAGTAAGACGGAGAATAGGATAGCAGATGAACAAGGAGGCTTTAGGAAAGGTAGGGTGTGTGTGGACCAGGTGTTTACAGTGAAACATATAAGTGAACAGTATTTAGATAAGGCTAAAGAGGTCTTTGTGGTATTTATGGATTTGGAAAAGGCGTATGACAGGGTGGATAGGGGTGCAATGTGGCAGATGTTGCAAGTGTAAGATAAGATAAGATAGGATTTCGTTCGGATTTTTAACCCCGGAGGGTTAGCCACCCAGGATAACCCATGAAAGTCAGTGCGTCATCGAGGACTGTCTAACTTATTTCCATTGGGGTCCTTAATCTTGTCCCCCAGGATGCGACCCACACCAGTCGACTAACACCCAGGTACCTATTTGCTGCTAGGTGAACAGGACAACAGGTGTAAGGAAACGTGTCGAAATGTTTCCACCCGCCGGGAATCGAACCCGGGCCCTCCGTGTGTGAAGCGGAAGCTTTAGCCACCAGGCCACCAGGCCAGGTAGGTTACTGAAAGCAGTGAAGAGTTTTTACGAGGATAGTGAGGCTCAAGTTAGAGTATGTAGGAAAGAGGGAAATTTTTTCCCAGTAAAAGTAGGCCTTAGACAAGGATGTGTGATGTCACCGTGGTTGTTTAATATATTTATAGATGGGGTTGTAAGAGAAGTAAATGCGAGGGTCTTGGCAAGAGGCGTGGAGTTAAAAGATAAAGAATCACACACAAAGTGGGAGTTGTCACAGCTGCTCTTTGCTGATGACACTGTGCTCTTGGGAGATTCTGAAGAGAAGTTGCAGAGATTGGTGGATGAATTTGGTAGGGTGTGCAAAAGAAGAAAATTAAAGGTGAATACAGGAAAGAGTAAGGTTATGAGGATAACAAAAAGATTAGGTGATGAAAGATTGGATATCAGATTGGAGGGAGAGAGTATGGAGGAGGTGAACGTATTCAGATATTTGGGAGTGGACGTGTCAGCGGATGGGTCTATGAAAGATGAGGTGAATCATAGAATTGATGAGGGAAAAAGAGTGAGTGGTGCACTTAGGAGTCTGTGGAGACAAAGAACTTTGTCCTTGGAGACAAAGAGGGGAATGTATGAGAGTATAGTTTTACCAACGCTCTTATATGGGTGTGAAGCATGGGTGATGAATGTTGCAGTGAGGAGAAGGTTGGAGGCAGTGGAGATGTCATGTCTGAGGGCAATGTGTGGTGTGAATATAATGCAGAGAATTCGTAGTTTGGAAGTTAGGAGGAGGTGCGGGATTACCAAAACTGTTGTCCAGAGGGCTGAGGAAGGGTTGTTGAGGTGGTTCGGACATTTAGAGAGAATGGAGCGAAACAGAATGACTTCAAGAGTGTATCAGTCTGTAGTGGAAGGAAGGCGGGGTAGGGGTCGGCCTAGGAAAGGTTGGAGGGAGGGGGTAAAGGAGGTTTTGTGTGCGAGGGGCTTGGACTTCCAGCAGGCATGCGTGAGCGTGTTTGATAGGAGTGAATGGAGACAAATGGTTTTTAATACTTGACGTGCTGTTGGAGTGTGAGCAAAGTAACATTTATGAAGGGGTTCAGGGAAACCGGCAGGCCGGACTTGAGTCCTGGAGATGGGAAGTACAGTGCCTGCACTCTGAAGGAGGGGTGTTAATGTTGCAGTTTAAAAACTGTAGTGTAAAGCACCCTTCTGGCAAGACAGTGATGGAGTGAATGATGGTGAAAGTTTTTCTTTTTCGGGTCACCCTGCCTTGGTGGGAATCGGCCAGTGTGATAATAAAAAAAAATAAAAATAAACTAACTAAACTCTAGACAACTACTAGAACCTATAATTCATGAGACAAGGAATTCAAGATGGATTCAAAACGCAGCACCAGAAAAATGTTTGGACTACATGAACTGTATTATGTTAGGAAACTACAGTATTTCCCATTACCCTGGTTCATAACAGCTTTTGATATTACTGTATCCACCTATAATAATAATAATAATAATAATAATAATAATAATAATAATAATAATAATAATAATAATAATAATAGTAATAATAATAATAATATCTTTATTTCTACAAGTACAAGGTATACAGTCCTAGCTGACATCAGTGACACTCTACTATATAGAAAGCCCCTTGTTATGCTGAGCATTTCAGACAAATTAGGTCAGCTTTTGTCACTGGATGAGACCCACACCAGTCGACTAACACCCACGTACCCATTTGACTGATTCCCTTTGCCGGGAATCGAACCCGGACCCTCAGCGTGTGAAGCGAGAGCTTTTCCAACCAGCCCTTGTCACGTGCCTTCAGCATTTTATGGAGAGGGTGCATGGACACAGGGGTTATCCCACACTCACTAAAAATAACAGACATAGCCCCCCCCCCCTCCTCTAAAGAGATGGCAGTAAAGCAATTGCAAAGAACTACAGACCGATAGCACTAACATCCCATATCATAAAAATACATGAAAGGGTTCTACGAAGCAAGATAGCCAATCACCTAGATACCCATCAGTTACACAACCCAGGGCAATACTGGCTTAGTGCAGGTCCCAGCTACTGAACCACTATGACTAGGTCCTGGATGTTTTAGAGGATAA